CGGCCCCAAGTGGCCAGGACCTGATAAATAACCACCCCTTTTCCTCATTTTTAAACATATTTTTATTGTTCTTATCGGTGTTGGTCAGTGGATAGAGCGTCGGCCTGCGGACTGAAGGGTCCCAGGTTCAATTCCGGTCAAGGGCATGTACCTTGGTTGCCGTCCCAGTGGGGGGTGTGCAGGAGGCAGCTGATCGATGTTTCTAGCTCTCTATCCCTCTTCCTTCCTCCCTGTAAAAAATCAATAAAATATACTTTAAAAATATTTTTTTATTGATTTCTGAGAGGAAAAGAGGGAGAGATTGAGATGGAACTGTCAGTGATGAGAGAGAATCATTGGTCGGCTGTGATGGAGCCTGCAGTCTGGGCACGTGCCCTGATGGGGAATCGAACCCTGGCCTCCTGGTTCATAGGTCGATGGTCAGCTGCTGAGCCAGGCCGGCGGAACCCTGTTTCAAATTTTTACCCACTTCCAGCTTAACCAGCTAGAGAAAGCTGTGTACACTGTTGCACCCTAACCAGTTATACAGAATGCTGTGTAATTGCATGTCAGAGAGCCTATACACACACACACACACACACACATACTAGAGGCCTGGTTGCACAATATTCGTGCACTGGTGGGGCGGGGGGGTAGGTCCCCTCAGCCCAGCCTGTGCCCTCTCGAAGTCTGGGAGCCCTTGGGGTATGTCCACTGCTGGCTTAGGCCCACTCCCCGCGAGGGTTCCTTAGCTCTGCAGGGGAGGTGCTCTCCAGCCATGAGCCTGGCTTCTGGCTGAGCAGTGCACCCCCTGTGGGGGAGCACACTGACCGCCAGGGAGCAGCTCCTACATTGAGCGTCTGCCCCCTGGTGGTCAGTGCACGTCATAGCAACTGGTCATTCCACCATTTGGTCGATTTGCATATTAGAGTTTTATAATATAGGATATTTTTATTTATTGATTATTTTTTTAAGAGGGGAAGGGAGAGCGAGAGCAAGATGAAAAAAAGAAAAACACAACAAAACAATTTATTGTTCCACTCATTTCTACATTCATTGGTTGATGCCTGCATGTGCCCTGCACAGGAGGGAACCTGCAGCCTTGGTGTGTCCAGAGGATGCTCTAACCAGCTGAACTACCCGGCCAGGGCTGGGAGTTTATATTATTTAAACATGTATCATCTGGTAGTAAACGTGGAGACCCTAGCTGGTTTTTCTACTCTTACCTACCTGCCCAAAATTTGCACATGACATGAGTTTATCCTGCATCAGAAATGAGCAATACTGCAGGGCTCCTAAATATGGACCAATTCATTTACGAGGAATTGCCGAGTGTTTAATTGCAATATTAAGTCAAGAAAACTCACAGAGCCCAGCTCGGTGCGGCTAGCAGTTGAGTGTCAACCCAGGAACCAAGAGGTCATCAGTTTGATTCCCAGTCAAGGGCACATGCCTGGGTTGCCGGCTCAATCCCCAGTAGGGGGCATGCAGGAGGCAGCTGATCAGTGATTCTCTTTCATCGTTGATGTTTCTTCTCTCTCTCTCTCTCTCTCTCTCCTCCTCTCTCCCTCTCTCTCCTCCTTTCCTCTTTGAAATCAATAAAAATATATTTTAAAAAACTAGGAAACTCAGAGAGATGAAGCTAGAAAGCAGAGAGGTGAGCACTGAAGGTGTAGGTGTAAAACCATGGACCAATGTCTGGGAGAATGTATTTATTTATATATCTATATCTATATCTATATATCTTTATTGTTGAGTATTACAGATGTACCCCCCTTTCCATTCATTCCCAGGCCTTCACCACCCTATTGTCTGTGACCATATGCATATAAGATCTTTGGTTACTCTCCCCCCACACCCTTCCCTCTGAGATTCGTCAAGTCTATTCCATGTTTCCATGCCTCCCATTCTATTTCATTCATCACTTTATTTTGTTCATTATTCCTTGTTCATTTATTTTTATTTTTAGATTCAATTGTTGGTAGATAAGTATGTACTGTGTCGTTTTATTGTTCACATTTTTTCCCCTTTATTTTTCTTCTTTTTCCTCTTCTTAAAGAATTCCCTTCAACATTTCTTGTAATACTGTTGTGGTGATGAAGAACTCCTTTGGCTTTTTCTTGTCTGGGAAGCTCTTTATCTGACCTTCAATTCTAAATGGGAGCTTTGCTGGGTAGAGTAATCATGGTTGCAGGTCTTTGCTATTCATCTCTTAGAATAGTTCTTGTCACTCCCTTCTGGCCTGCAAAGTTCCTGTTGAGAAATCAGTTGACAGTAGTATGGGTGCTCCCTCGTAGGTAACTAACTGTTTTTCTCTTGGTGCTTTTAAGACTCTCTCTTTGTCTTTAACCCTTGGCATTTTAATTATGATGTGACTTGGTGTGGCCCTCTTTGGGTTCCTCTTGTTTGGGACTCTCTGTGCTTCCTGGACTTGTAAGTCTATTTCTTTCACCAGGTAGGGGAAGTTTCCTGTCATTATTTCTTATAGGTTTTCAATATCTTGCTCTCTCTTCTCCTGGCACGCCCATAATGTGAATGTTGGTACACTTGAAGGTGTCCCAGAGGCTCCTTACACTATCTTCATATTTTCTAGATTCTTTTTCTTTTTGCTCTTCTGATTGAATGCTTTTTGCTTCCTCATAGTCCAAATCGTTTATTTGATTCTCAGAATCCTCTACTCTACTGTTAAATCCCTATAAATTACTCTTTATTTCAGTTAGTATATACTTCATTCCTGACTGGTCCTTTTTGATGTCTTTGAAATTCTCACTAAGATCCTTGACAGTCTCATTAAGCCACTTGAAGCTCTCATTAAGATCTTTGCGCAACCTTATAACAATTGTTGTGAACTCTGTATCCAGTAGTCTACTTGCTTCCATTTCATTTATTTCTTTTTTCTGGTGATTTCTTCTGTTCTTTCATTTGTGACATGTTTCTTTGTCTCCACATTTTGGCTGCTTCCCTATATTTGTTTCTATAAATTAGGTAGAGCTGCTATATCTCCGGAATTGGTAATGTGGCCTTGTGTAGTAGGTGTCCTGTAGGGCCCAGTGGTTTAGCCTCCCCAGTCACCTGAGATGGACACTCTAGGTGCACCCTGTGTGGGCTGTGTGCAGTCTTGTAGTTGAGCCTTGATTGCTGTTGGCATCTGGGAGGAATGGACCTTCAGGCCAATTGGCTGTGAGGACCAGCTGTGACTATAATGGAAGAACTGCAGTGCAGGAGGCACCCTATTGAGCAGGACTCATTTCAGTGGGGTTTTGATGCTCACTGAGTCTACCCCTTGAGTGTGTTGCTTGTGGATGTGTAGAGTTGTAATCTGGTGTGGTCTGAAGCTGTCCACCGGATGCACTGGCTCTGGGGCCTCCTGGGAGGTGCAGAGTCAGCCACTGCCTGGGGCCACCTGGCAAGAGTGACAGAGAGATCTGCAGATGGCTGCTATTTGTATTGGGCTTGGCAGTGCCCAGGTGAGGCCCAGCTGTGAAGCAAGGCAGGCTGGTGCTAGTGCTGGGTCTTGGGCCTTTCATTGATAGGTTTGGGGCACACTGATGCCAGCTGCTGCTTGTTTGAGAGATTTTAGGAAAGTCTGAAGATCTGGGAGCATTTAAATCATCTGCAGTAGTGGGGCTGTGCATCTGAGAGTGGAGTGGCTGGATTATTGGTATTTAACGAGTGGGCCTGCTCAGCACTGGGCTGTCAGGAGCCACTGGTGAAAAGGATGGCTTGAGAGCAGGGGACTTGTCAAGTGGTTCTGGGATCTTTCATTTTACCCCTTTGTTAATTGTTGTGGCTGTTGACAAGCAGATACCTGACTGCAAATGTTTGTCCTTGTATTTCCGTATTTCTGGACAGCGGTTTTTATAGCCCAATATGTTTATTCACTATAGATAAAAAGGAACTGGGGACTTTTAGTCACTTTAGCACATGATGTAACTAATGTCAAAGAATATTGAATGTCAGCGGTAATTAGAGGTTGTGGGGAGACATGATGTGAAGCTCCCAGCATGGGGCAGGCACCTGGCAGGACCCAGCAGCCGCGTGGTGCTCTGGGCCTTGACGTCTGCCCCTGGACCACGACGCAGAGACGCTGCTGATCCCATCAGCAGCCCCAAGGCCGTCGCTGTGACCTCTGTTTACTTCCCAGGTGTCTGTGACCTTCGAGGACGTGGCTGTGACCTTCTCCCAGGAGGAGTGGGTGCAGCTGGACGTGGCCCAGAGGACCCTGTACCAGGAGGTGATGCTGGAGAACTGCAGGCTCCTGGCGTCGCTGGGTGAGTCCGACCCCTCAGTGGGGGACCCGCCACTTCCTTATCCCCCGTCTGCCTCCGGGCCGGGCTGGTCGCGAAGGCCTCAGGAGCGGCTGCTGTGGCTCGTCTGGTTGGGTGTCATCCCCATGCACCGCAAGGTTGCTGGTTGGATTCCCAGTCAGGGCACAGGCCCTGTTTGCGGGCTGCATCCCCCATGGAGGCCGCCAATTGAATGTTATGCTCTCACAGCGATGTTTCTCTTTCTCTCCCTCTCCCTTCTTCTCTCTCTAAAAATCAATAAACTGTTCTTCCCCCCGCCCCCCATCTCCATCTACCTCATCCCACTTTCCCTCTAGCTGTCACCACACGGTTGTTCGCGCGTCACACTATGTCTGTGTGTTATATATATATAGTTTGTTTGTTTTTTTTGCTTATTCCATTCACCTTCTTTCATCCAGTTCCCCAGTATCGGTGGCCACTTTGATGGTCACAGCTGGGTGTGGGTGGTAGTGGCATCTGGTGGGCAGAGCCCAGGGATGCTGTACATCCTGCCATGGACAAGACCAGCCTCGGGCTGCTGGCCCCACAAGGGTGTTTGCTGGTTCTTCTTGAGTGGAGTGTTTGGGGGACAAGTGTCTAGTGCCAGAATCTTGATGTTTAATCCAACTCTGCTCCTGGAAAGCTGTGTGGCCTTGGGCAAGTTACTGAACCTCTCTGTGCTGTAGTGTGTTATTGGGAAAATGGGTTAATGTGACAGCTGCTTCTCAGGAGTGCGGCAGGGCACATGGGCGACTTGGGGAAAGGCTCAGAACAATGCCTGCTGTGACCAGGTCGGCACTGAGGACCCCCTGCTGCTCTGCTGTCGCTGTGACTCTCAGGACTCTCGTATCCTCGTGTCTGGACTCAGCGCCTCTGGGGCCTGGGTGGGGAAACAGCCAAGACAGCAGACAAGGCTAGACCGGGCCTTCCATGTTGTCTCCGCCACCCACCACTCTGTCGTCTTCGGCACATCATGTTACCTGCTTGAGCCTTGGCTTCCGCATCTATAACATGGGGCTGGTCACAGTGTGTACTTGCTGGTGATGCTCTGAGGAAATCCTGAGGTGGAATCTTCATCTTGTCTGTGGATCTAAAAAAAAAAAAAGACCTAGATCCTGGCCAGGTAGCTCAGTTGGTTAGAGCCTTGTCTGATACCCCCAGGTTGCGGGTTTGATCCTGGGCAGGGCACATACGAGAATCAGCCAGTGAATGCACACGTAAGTGGAACAACAAATCAGTGTTCTCTCTCTCT